TTTTTTTGTTTTTAGGAACATGAAAAAATTCATGCTTTGATAGCACATTCACACTTACATTGCAATTGGTGAATAATTGATGACTATTTATTCACAATTTTTTATTTAATTTTGAACAAAAAATTAATAAATAATGAGAATTGGCAGCAATAAATTAAGCATTCATCTAATCTGATTGGTAAACTTTTGTAGCATTTAGTTAAATTTCAAAGCTTATTACTTTAATTTTACTTGAAACCTTATCCAAGAAAGCAAGATGGTAGTTAATTAAGGCTCAGCTCACCTACGACACTAAAAAGGGGCATTTACATACATACCACAAAGTTCTTATGTATTTACATAAATTTAACACCTAAACATTTATATTTACATATATATACCACTCAAATCTTTAACATCACATCAAAAAATACTACCATCACTATCTTCTTAAAGGTGAAATACACATTTTCATACATATGTTTATGACACCAAGTTGTCATAAATGTAAACATCAAACTTGGGCTGTTAGATATGCGAGACATGACAATTTTGTGGTGTGCATGTAAATTTCCCTACTAAAAAGCCATTGATGTAGTCCCAACTTCATTATTCATGAAAACATGATTTGAACATCGCTTACATTTTTATTTCATCTCAATGAACATACTTTAGGAACAAGTTAGGGTTTTGTGATGCCGAAATGCATCATTATGCCCTTTATTTTTTAACAATTAAACCATACTTACCCATCTTTCTTCATCTCAGATACCTCTATGAACTAGATCAACATCTCGATCGTTTCTTACGATCAGCTGCAATGGCTAAAATCAATCTACCGTTCGATCGCTCGCAAATACGAAACATCCTAATCCACACAGTAAGCGCCTCAAAATGCACAGAAGGGGCTTTAAGGTACTGGCTCTCCGTCGGTCCCGGCGATTTCTACCTATCTCCTTCCGGGTGCTTACAATCCGCTCTATACGCCGTGGCTTACGAAACTTATCTACCGGAATTTACGGGTTCTAAAGTAATAACATCATCAATCCCCATGAAATCACCGAAGTTCGCAGTAATGAAGAGTGTGAACTACTTACCGAATGCCCTGTCGAAGATGGAAGCCGAACAAAATGGCGCTTTCGTCGGAATATGGATCGACGACGAAGGATATGTCGCCGAAGGTCCGAATATGAATGTCGCATTTGTGACGGAAGAGAGAGAGTTGTTGATGCCTGAGTTTGATAAGATTCTGAGTGGATGCACTGCGAGGAGAGTGATAGTTCTTGCAGAGAAGCTTGTGAGAGAGGGGAAGATCAGAGGAGTTAGGGTTCAGAAAGTTAGGGTTAGGGAAGGGAAGATGGCGAATGAAATGATGCTTATTGGAAGTGGAATTCTTGTGAAGCCGGTTCTTCAATGGGATGATCAGATCATTGGTGATGGTAAGCTTTCTTCCTTTTTTTATTTTTTATTTTCTTTTATAGCTATGTGGAAATTTACATGCTTAGCGCACAATTCTTTGTATTTATATATCTCACATTTAAAATTTCATATTTATATAGATAACACTTTAGTACTTTAAATTTAAGTATGAAAATGTATATTTCACTTTAAGAAAATAATAATAATATTATTATTATTGTAATATAAATTATTTGAGTGTTGTGTGTGTAATATAAATGTTTAGGTGTGAGATATGAAAAAATATAAATGCCCATATGTGTATATGTGTGTGTGAAATTTACATACATACCAAACAATTTTTATATATTTACATATTTAACATCGTAACTATTATACTTATATGTATAATATTTTACTGTCATAAAACAATATTTGAAAATATATTTTTGTTTTTAAAAATTAAGTGTTGAACCCAAAAAATATGATGAATCCCTTATGATGAATAGAGCACAAATGATAAGGAATGAACAGTAAAAATGAACTTCCAACTCCCTTTCCCCTTCATAATGAGTTTCATGTGTATACGCTTAGGGGATACACTAGTACACATTTACCTTTATGCCTCTGCTCTGTATAAAGGAGTTTAGAGGTATTAAATGTAATTATCCAATAAGTGGTTTAAGTTAAATGAATATTTGTTGACGACAGCGATCCTTTGTTGGTTGCCCACCTTTGTTCGTTCATCTCTAATGAGTCGAATCACGAGAGGGTAATATGAGAACTTCTCGGTCGACCTTACCTATGAATAGTCTTTTGAACTCTTTAATGGAGGGGATTATTCCCGTCGGGAGAGCATTGAAGCAATGAAGACCCATTTCTCTTAGCGTGGTGAGGAGTAAGAGGCATTTGAATGCGTCGGTGATCTTGAGGATACTGACGGTCGGCTCCAAAGCAGCTACGCCGATCCGGCTTGCAGTTGTTTGGTTTTGTGCAATTAGATTGATGAGGATTTTGGTTTTGTGGGTTTTGGCCTTCCCTAGCCAAGGCTTCTTGGAGAGCACCCACAATCTGTTCTCTCATTTCTAGTACTAGTTGTTTGTCATCTCCATTACTTGTTGTTGGACTATCTCCCTTGTAATATTCGTCCATTTGGTCTGTTTTTGTGTCTCTCGAGCGGTTGCCTTGTTGCAGCACTATGTTCCTCTCTTGTTAGAGGAATGGATTCCACGTTTGCGGCACATTTTAGAGTGTTGAGCCCAAAAATGTCTTGAATCCCACCCATGTATAGAGCGCAAATAATATGATAAGGAATGAATGGTAAAAATGAACTTCCAGCCCCCCTTCCTCTTCATAATGAGTTTCTTATTTATAGGCTTAGAGGATACACTAGTACACTTTTACCTTTATGCCCCCATTTTGTATAAAGGAGTTTAAGAGTATTAAAGTTAATTATCCAATAAGTCAAAATAAGTTAAATAAATATTTGCCGACGATAGCGATCTTTTGCTCGTTGCCCACCTTTGTTCATTCATCTCTAATGAGCTGAATCACGAGAGGGTGATATGAGAACTTCTTGGTCGACCTTTCCTATGAATAGCCTTTTGAACTCTTTAATGGAGGGGATTATTCCTGTCGGGAGAGCGTTGAAGCAATGAAGAACCAATTCTCTTAGCGTGGTGAGGAATAAAAGGCATTTGAATGCATCAGTAATCTTGAGAATACTGACGGTCGGCTCGAAAGCTGCTACGTCGGTCCAGCCTGCCTGTTGTTCAGTTTTGTGCAATTATATTGATGTGGATTTCTGTTTTGTGGGTTTTGGCCTTCCCTAGCCAAAGCTTCTTGGAGAGCACCCACCATCTGTTCTCTCATTTCTAGTACTAGCTATTTTGTCATCTTCATTATTTGTTGTTGGACTATCTCCCTTGTAATATCCATCTCTTTGGTTTGGTTTTGTGTCCCTCGAGCGGCTGCCTTGCTGCAGCATTGTGCTCCTCTCTTTGTTAGAGGAATGAATTCCACGTTTGCCACACATTTTAGAGTGTTGAGCCTAAAAATGTCTTGAATCTCACCCATGTATAGAGCGCAGATAATATGATAAGGAATGAATAGTAAAAATAAACTTCCAGGCCTCCTTCCCCTTCAAAATGAGTTTCCTATTTATAGGTTTAGGAGACACGCTACTACACATTTACCTTTATGCCCCCCACTCTATCTAAAGGAGTTTAAGGATATTACAGTCAGTTATCTGATACGTCAAAATAATTTAAATAAATATTGCCAACGATAGTGACCCTTTGCCCTTTGGTCTATCTTTGTTTGTTTGTGTCTAATGAGTTGAATCACGAGAGGATAATATGAGAGCTTCTCGGTCAAACTTACCTATGACTTATTCTAAACCCCGGTTCGCCTCCTTCGCCTGCTAGGTGATAGATAGTTCTTCGTTCGATTGGTCCTACAAATAGCTTCCGTCTGGCTTCATTGTCTGTTGGTTTGTCATCTGTTACGCAATTCAATGATATTATCAGCCGATCTCCTAACCCGAGCATCAATTTTTTTAGTAAACCGACTTAGTCCTATTGACAGGTCTTGATTCACTTTGGGTTGGGGACCCATCTCGCTTGTCGTGTTGCTTGCCCCTGCATCGAGATTCATGTTTTTCTAACCTGGTCATACAATAAGTAATACCGACATTTCCTATGTAATGTTAAAGATTTGAGCGGTATGCACCTAAATATAAAGTTAAATTTTTGAGTGGATATGTAAATATAACAATTGTATGGTATGTATGTAAATGCCCCCACCATAAATAATCATTCTGTCAGAATTGGTGTTCCTTAAGCTGCTCTTTCACATAGCCATGATGGCTCTGCTTTCTTTTAGATATTAAAACTATTTATAGAACATGTAGACGTTCCCTCCTCTTTTTTTTTTTCTTTTTTTTAGTGAAAATGAATGCATTTACATATATATCCAAACAATTCTAATGTATTTACATATCTAACACCTTAAATTTCTTATTTGCCCACATATCACCTTCAAAACCTTTAATATTTCATTAAAAATATCACTATTATTAAATTTATGAACGTAAAATACATCTTTTCGACAGAGATTTGTGCTGCTAAGGTGTTATAAATGTAAATATATTATTTTGGCAGCTAAAATTTTCATAAAAAAGTATGTTGATTGAGATGCTATTTCTTGCTGACTATTTGAAAGCCTTTGAGCTCTCAGGGAAGGAAGGTCCTGTCACTGAAGCTATTTTCAGACTCATTGTGGAGGATATGAGGAGTGGTCCACCTTCTGTTCGAGTTCCCGTTCCTTACCACTGAACCATTATGGCCTTTTATTTAAATATTGGCAGTCATTAGAAGCTTCCTCTTGTATCATGACAGCCTCGTGGTTTTAAAAGTCGTCGTTCAACCGGCTCAACTGTGAACCAGTTATTCGAGCGGTTCGATTCAAGCTTAAAACCGTTTCTGTATAGTACTGAGATTGAACTCGTGAGAACCGGGATTGAAGTGGTGAACCGGTCTTGTTTCTAAGAAATCGAAATCGTTCGGTTCAAATATTATTGAATTTTATTATTTTGATTTTGATCTGAAGGCTATGTATAAGATATTTAAATTTATGAATAAATAAAGTATATGTTGTAAATTTTTTATTTGAAATATTGTTCACAGTATTAAAAGATATTGTCTTAAATTAATATAGTATTTATTAATAAAAATAATATTAATGTATCATTATTATATTATTTAAATTATATAAAAAATAATTTAAATATTTATTACGTCATCTGAATCGATCATTGGCTTAAACCTAGTCGAATCTTGAGCAATTACCTCTTCAGGTTCGATATTCTATCCGATTTTCATAAATTAATTGAACTTAATATTAATAGGTTATGGGGTGCCATAAAATTGGGGCTTTTTGGTTTGCTCAAAAAAGAGCATAGTGTAAAAGAAATGCAATGAAAAATGTGTCTAGTATATTGTAAAGTAAATATTATTCTGTATGAATATATTGTTGAATAATTATTGTAGATGAAAATAGATTTATCGTGCATGCATCTCATGTTAAATTATTGAAGAAATTTAATCATAAGCCTGTTTAAATTTATAAAGAGTTCGACTGAGGCGACAATGCGGTACCGCACCACAATTTTGTCTGTTTGAGTAAACTGCGTTTTGACCGTTTTTTTGAAAAACTCATATTGAAATCTGCATTTTTTCACCAGTCCTAGCTAGGTGCAGTTACAACTTTCTAGTTACGATCTGACTTTTTCAAAAAAAAAATAATTGTATTAGCTATCATAATTTTTTAAATATCATATTATTTTAAAATAATTTTACAATTATTTTTAATAAGTTGCAGCTGTCACAAACAAACCCTTAATAATAAATACAGAATTATTAAATTCTTATGTCGAATGTGATGTTCTTCTCCACAAAGAGAATTTTATTTTGTGTCAAGATGGGATGTGAGTAAAATGAGAACTAATATCTTAAATTAGGGCTCATGTCATATTTTGTACTTGAGGTTATACATTTTAGATTTGCCAATCATTAAAAATAAAATAAATGTATGACCTTTATATAATATAAATTCTTTATAAAAATATTAAGATGCTTATAAGCTAAAATAAATATTTTTTATTTAATAATAATAATAATTTTTAATATTTTAGAGAATTATTAAAGCATGGTTATCATCTCATATTGCATATAGTACACAAATATAAAAATAATGGTAAATTAATGCTAATGATCCCCTTAAGAAGCCATAGGTGCTCAATTCTTTTTATCTAAGTCATAATGGTTATGTTATATCAAGACTAGTGGATTTTGGAGATTCACTTGTACTAACTTGCCTTAGCATAAACATAGTATAACAACATTGATTGGATCTAATTCAGTGTTCATTTCTTAAGTGATTATATAGACTTTGAAAGACAAATAAAAATAGATTGATGTCTAAAAATAACCTATATTATTGATTCTTTATTGGATATAGGTCTCGTAGTATCTATGAGCTCATACAACCCGTAAGAGATTCTGTTTTTGGAGGAAAGTGTAGAAGAAGGCGGTGGATATGTTGCTAGAGCTCGAGCACTTAGGGTCCGTTTGAGGCAGCTGCAACTTATTGAATAATATGCTGAAAAACTGATTAAAAATAATCAACTAATAAGTTAGGTACGATTGCTATTAAAAATTTTTATTTTTTTAGAAAAGTCAGACCGTAGTCTAAATGTTGCGACCACACCTAGATAGGTGCGGTGTGAAAATGTTGTTTTCAGCGTTTTGAAAACGCATAAGTTGTCAAACCGCTGTTTACTCAAATAGGCTGGTTCGTTTTCAAAACGCCACCGCACCAGATAAACTGCCCCAAACGGGCCCTCAAGTTCTCCCACAAATCTCCAGGAAATGAGAGAACTGTTTTGAGAAAGGAACTTCTAGTTCTCAAAACATGAGAAAGCTCCCCTTTTTTGAATCCCCTTCCCCCTTTACAATCAAGAGAATAAAAGAGTCATAAAATTACATTTTTTACAATATTGCACTTATATACACTGTCTTGATAAAAAAGACCATGATGGGGATGTCAGACGACTATTTAAATAAAGATGGACACTTGTTCTTATATGAAATGATGATCTGGTTCGTTTTCAAAACGCCACCGCACCAGATAAGCTGCCCCAAACGGGCCCTCAAGTTCTCCCACAAATCTCCAGAAAATGAGAGAACTGTTTTGAGAAAGGGACTTCTGGTTCTCAAAACATGAGAGAGCTCCTCTTTTTTGAATCCCCTTCCCCCTTTACAATCAAGAGAATAAAAGAGTCATAAAATTACATTTTTTACAATATTGCACTTATATACGCTGTCTTGATAAAAAAAACCATGATGAGGATGTCAGACGACTATTTAAATAAAGATGGACACTTGTTCTTATATGAAATGATGATCTTATCCGATATCTGGTTCGCCCCATACTAGATTGATCACTTCAACATGTGGGCACAACACAACTGCTTCGACATGTGTGACTACTTTAACTGAGGAGCGCGATTCGACCAATTCAATAGGTGGACTCAGTTTGCAAGAATGACCTGATATTTGAATATATGCCTCAAAATCCCATGTTGATTCATATTTCATATTTCATGCCTTCTAAAAAAGTATTATTTAAGCATATGGTCATATTTGGGTATATAACTATAATGAATAAAAAATATATAAATATAACAATAGAGATTCATTATAATCATAGCTTTCATTGAATATTTAGTATTTTGTTAGGTGTGGTGTGTATTTCAAGGCCGCAAAAATTAGACGGGAAATTGAACGGCATTAAAAATATTAATATTTTATATATGATCTAAATGATGCAATAATAATAAATGTAATATATAATTTTTTTTTAACATGTGATACTTTATCATTAAATATTTTGAATGTGATTCTAATTAAAACTTGGGTATTTACATACATACCCCTCAATTCCAATGTTTTTACATAGGCACCTAAATTTGTCTTTTATATCTATACCCCCCAAATATTTCATATGACAAAAATTACCTCCCTTTTTTATTTAAAAAAAAAAAAAGTGGAATACACCATTTCATGCATAGGTAAAGTTGAATGTATGTAAAAGTTAAAGTTTAGGTGTTACATATGTAAATACATGACAATTGAATGGTATGTAAGTAAATCTTCCATCAAAACTGTAAAATGTGACAATTGAGTGGTATGTATGGAAATGTCTTATTGTTCCAAGGGCATAAAAATTCATACTTAGTCCTTAAATTCTTTTAAAGAGTCCTAAAATAGAAATTCATATGGATTATTTCAATATGTATTAAAAGAGTATGATGATTAAATAGTCACGTTTATGAATACTTGGAGTAAAATGATCTCATATAAATAATCACAAGACTATTTTGAGGTTTTACTCTCAATGTGTTATCGAGAAATTATTTTCATCATGCACGAACCTCGATTCATTTTGAGCAAAAGACATTCTGAATTTAAAGTTAATGTCATATAAGT